CTCTCTCTCTCTCTCTCTCTCTCTCTCTCTCTCTCTCTCTCTCTCTCTCTCACTCTCTCTCTGTGGAGCCTGGAAAACTCGGCACTCCAGGTGGCAGCCATGTGTGGGTTGGTCCTGCCACCTTCTTTTACTTTTTATCTTGCACCCCGCTTGATGACACTGCTTTGCTCTCATGAGCCCGCTCCGAGGGATCTCTGTAACATCTACATCCATCTATCCTATCTATCTATCCATCTTTTCCCAAGCTTTTTGGCGGCTTACGCCGCCACGCGGAGAGAAGCGTTCCGGAAGACGCTTGTTATCGGCGTTGCTGGATGGCCGTCTTGTTGCTGTCCTTGTCACTGCTCTTGCTTACGTACGTACGGTAGTCTATTGCGACACCGAAGGGGTGCGAACAGGTGCGTCCGCATGGAGTCCACGAACTGGACACGCGCACACTTCTTGTTTTCTTGGCGTGTACGCTTGTTGGCGGGCAGGCGAAGGTTATCGTGAAACGGGTTGATATTGTGTGTCGTTGAATTTCGAAATTTCATATACCGACACAACCATGGTGCTGAAAAACGCGGATCGGATGCTCCAAACTTTCATGTTGAGAAAAAAATGCCCGGAGTACCCCTGCTGTACCGCGACCGACTCCTGCAAAAACCGTTCACCTCGTAACAAAGTGTACATGACAAAGGTCGGACAAAGAAGACGTACTCACTCGTTCGTGTGGTATCACCAGATTTTTGTTTTGTTTCCCCGCGGCGTCGTATGTACCGGGTTTTGAGACCACGGGCTCCCCGTTTTCTGTGGACTATTGAGCTAATGTGAGAAACAACAACAACAACAACAACAACAACAACAAACCAGGCATCGGCAAATTGCAGCGGGGAAAAAAAAGTGTAACCAATTTGGGGATATAGATGTTGGATGGGCCGCTGAAAGAAAATAAACCACTCACACATACATTTCCCGAAGGCGTATCGTATCATCACCCGTCCACCCACTACATTTCGTGTCACTTGAACGACCACCACATGCATCCACCCCCTCTATCTCACGATGGGTGTGAAAGCACCACACCACACTCTCCCCAGGTAAGAGTACCGGAGCATGTGGAAGGACAAAGGAAGCAAAATTAATGCACTTGGCAGTCTAGACTACAATAGTTTTGGATGCAAACTCCATCATCTTGCAGAGTAAAACAAGTGCCACTGGAAAAGATGACAGGCCAGAGCACTAATACTTACACAAGAACATGCATGACACCCCCGTTTCCATCACGATGCGTGTGAAAGCACCGTCTGTTGTTGCACATACATATGCGGCGGTAAATAAAAACACGCAGAAAGACCAAAAAAGTGTTACAGGAGTTTCTGCACGGATGTAGGCATATATGAGGTAGATTAAAGAGCCACGGAACGAAAGGATGCACCCGAGCCGGAGAGACCACATGTATGTATGTGGTCTATGTGCGTCCAGGCAGTACGCCACCACTTGTTGGGTATCGACGCAGCGCGTGAGCTGAGCGAGAGAGAGAGAGTGGTGTGTGTGGGCGTCCATATGGCACTAAATAGGAGTAGTTCTAGTGTGAGAGAGAGAGAGAGCGAGAGAGAGTTGAAAAGCACTACCTGCTGTGTACTGCTCTGTCGGAAAGCATTGCGTGAAATACACGCGAGCGAACGGACGACGAAGTGAGTGATGGAGTGGCAGGTGAGAGAGCGGCTGGCTGTGGAGCGACACGTGCGTGCTCGCGCAGGGCACTAGGGGAGGAAGAGCACTGAAAGCCCCGACAAAGGAGAGCCGCGCGGAGAAAAAGATATTGCGGTCTAAATCCAAGTGAAAGGTTCTGGAGAAATGGCGGCCTGTCAGAGCCTGAAAACAGTGGAATGCTGCCCTGCCAGCGCCCCACGCGGAAATCTACAATGGTTGAACGGAAGATAGTTTGAAGAAACATGTATGAGAAAAGTTTTCTGTATATACCCATCTACTTCTACCTTTCTAATATCATCTTTCTATCTTGGAGTATATATCTACCTTTCAATCGATCTATACATGTACATTACCATCTACTTCTATCTATTTGTCTGCCCTTTTACGTAAAAGAGCTGTAGTCCTTGGTTGTCGACCCCACTTTCGTCGTCATTTTTCAATCTTTCGATCTCCCTTCGTGACTCACCCCTCTCCCTCAGGGGTTGCATCTTCTCTGTCGTCGGGGCGAGGGTGAACGTGCGGGTACGGAGACGCCTGTTTGAGTCCCTGGTCCGGCAGGAGATCGGCTTCTTCGACACCACCAAGACGGGCGACCTCACCAGCCGGCTCGCGTCCGACTGCACCAAGGTCGGGGACCAGGTCACTCTCAACGTCAATGTCTTCTTGAGGTAAGCGGTACACCGTACCAGGTGGTCATGGTACTTTGCTCTGCTTGCGGGCAATCGTTGCATGGAGAACTTACAGCTGTACACCATACCAGGTGGTTATGGACCTTGCTCTGCTTGTGGACAATCGCTGTAACGAGAAGCTCGTTCTGCTTCTTTTCTTTTGCTGACGATCGTTATGTATGCTGGGGAGAAGTTCGTCTGTTTCTTGTGTGTGTCGACGAGCGTTGAACTGGGAGATGTTGACCGCGGCTAATGGTACTGTATGCTCTTTTGCAGCTCGATCAGTGATGTTCTGGGCGAAAGGTTTTTGTATCTGAGATGAGTTTGTTTGGCGCGACTTCGGTGCCTCCGGCGGGTTGGTGCGCAGCCGCGTTAATGAGTGTTTGATCCGTGAGAGTGTGCCTCCCACAAGCGCGGCGGTAGCGGTAGCGGTGACAGCAGTGCCGGCTATCGACAAAGATGTCGTGGCGGTGACGGTCGAGAACTTGTGACACAGGCTATCCAGCAGGCTGTGTCTGACATGCCAAGAATCATTTTACCGTCACAGCTCACTGCGCGTTCCTATTGAATCCATGGCCAAGTCGGCTGCACTGCTGCTGCTGCTATCGGTTGTTCTTACGTCGGCCGGCACCCGTCTCTCTTGTGCTAATCGTCGGCACAACACCGGCCGCTGTATTGCTTGCTATTTTTGTAATATTTTTGGTTTCTTCAGTAAGTTCGTGAGAGCCATGTTCGACA